GATGGCATAAGAAATGTTAAGACTTTTTAACTGATATTTGGTTTTGTCCAGTTGTAGGTTTTTTTATTTCAACCGACATATTAATATTATCTTAAACATATAAACACGATGCTGAAATCTATTCCTAAAACATGGAATCTGCCATTTCATGAAAAGCTTGGGCTCCTTCAGGTCTGGGGCATGGCAAGGAGGATAATTTTATGTAAACTGAAAGAAACCTATCCTCTGGTATTAAGGAATGATTTCAGAATATGATTAATTATTTTTTGAAAAGGGCTTATGTTCTAAAAATGAGAGCACTGTAAAACAATATGTTCCTATATCATCTAGTTCGAATGATAAGGTTATGAAATGGATATACATAATTTTATGTATATCAATAGCAGATGGAGATTACATGGATTTTTAAATTAGTTCTCCCCTTTGCTGTTACATTTAGTTTATTTTAGTCACTATAACATTTTTTCTCACAACATATCTCTGTCTGTCATTTCTCTTTCTCTCTAAAATAAAAATTAAAAAATTAAAAACATAAATAGATAACAAAAAACTTCAAATGGCAGACTGGGTCTTCTTCTGCCATCAGTACTCTCTCTCTCTCTCTCTCTCTCTCTCTCTCTCTCTCTCTCTCTCTCTCACACACACACACACATCTACTGTATCTATCTGTCTATCTATCTATCTATCTATCTATCTATCTATCTATCATCTATCTATCTATCTATCTATCTATCTATCTATCATCTATCTTTTGCTACTTGATGGGTAAATGTAATTCAAGATTTCATAGTGAACATATTCTAGTGATATGCTAGGTTATATTAACCATATTAACCATATTGCCATAAGTAAGGCACTACCATTTGGCATTATTTCATTTGGAAAACACGCATGCTCCATTTCTCATCAATCAGGGATTGTCATATAGTAGGACTCAGGAAATGTGTCTATTCTGTACTTATGCCTGCCATTTGGAGCATCGTAATGTTTAAGAGTCAGATGACTCCAGTTCTGTTCATCTTTCAGAAAGCCTTGAACATTTGATTGTTATTCCTGGCATGGAAGTCAGGAGACTAATTGAGCCCACATTGTTGGGGCATGGTGTTTTCAGCAGCTGCTTGGCATTTAGTTTGTTATGATATGCACTTTTAAAAAACTTTTATTATCCACTCAGAGTCACATTAGTGAGACGAAAGACTGTTATCAGTTAATCAATCAATCATCAATCAATCAATCTTAATGGTAAATAGGCAGCTGGTACCTTTTATTTATTTGTGAGCACTAACAAACGCTTGCTGTAGAAATGAAGTAAGCCTAATACTTCTCCTAGCCCCCTTGTTTTTAAAATGCAATTGCTAAATATTCCCAATGACAAGTGGGAGCAGTAAAAATGCCATGACAGGAACAATTCCACTTGGTGGCCACTGCTGAATCATGTTCACTGGTAACTTTTTATTTATCATAATTGGTTCCCTAGCTCTCAGTTCAGTTGACATACTAAAATGAAACTCTTGGACATAATTCCAAGGAACAGGAAGTTTCAGGGACTATCAGAGGTTTTCTAATAGTGGTATTAATAGAGGCATAGACCAATGAGTATACAGCTTGTGTGCCAATTAGAGGATTACTTGCCTGCACGATGTGAAGATTCAGGATATCATATACCTTCTAGATAGTTCAGTAGCAGAGGTAGCATAACAAGGAACTGGTACTTATGGTGTATGTCAGCACCAAAGACATAAGAAAAAATAGGTTTGCATCTTTATTGTTGAGTAATATTTTGAAATACTAAATCATAAAAACATTGAAACCATTGAAAGGAACACATTTAGCCTATCAAATCTAACCTACTGGCCCATACAAATCCAGATTAATGATTATTAAAAGGTTTGTAGTTTTCTGATACCACCCTTCCCACTAAGCTTCTTGCAAAGGCAGACAGCAATACTGGAAGGGAAAACATAGGTTCTTTGTCTCCGTTTAGCATAATCACCATAGAAAACAACCATACACAATATAATAATGGTTTAGTGAATCACAAGCTTGAATAAAGCAGACTAGGTTATTTGTGGGACCACTTCTCCTAAGAGTTTCTCCCTGTTCTAACAGGTCAGATAGGGTGGGCACCATGTCCTTTCTTTTTCATGGCGTCATCCAGCAGGATCTAGGACAGTGTTTCTCAACCTTGACAATTTTAAGGCATGTGGACTTCAACTCCCAGAATTCCACACCCAGCATTGCTGGCTGTGGAATTCTGGGAGTTGAAGTCCACATGCCTTAAAATTGTCAAGGTTGAGAAACACTGATCTAGGAAGCTTGCCTTTTCCAAGGCCTCATCTAACCTCTGGAAAATTCTCCCATCTGAGATTTTCCCAGTCTTCTAACCTTCTGGAATGCCTTAAAACTAGCTCTCCCTCTAAGCATTGGGATAAATTAAGGCTGGAGCACAGTGATTGTGGTTGCTGATGTAGCAGGGTATTGGGGCTTGTGGATTTGGTTTTGTTTTTTAAGATGGCTTTATTGTCTTTGTTTTTACTGCTGTTTTTGTGAGCTGCCCGGAGTTGAGCTAGGCCGCCATATAAGTCATGTCATATAAATAAATTCATTGATTTTTCAATTTCAGCACATGTAGATCAGCATCATTTTCCTAACTCAGTGTTTCTCAACCTTGACAATTTTAAGGCATGTGGACTTCAACTTCCAGAATTCCACAGCCAGCATTGCTGGCTGTGGAATTCTGGGAGTTGAAGTCCACATGCCTTAAAATTGTCAAGGTTGAGAAACACTGCAGGCCTAACTAACGTTAAGCAGGGAGGTTATTTAAATTAGTGATCAGCTACAACATTGTCTTGTAGCAATTTGATTTCAGAAAGATTTCCCAGTGTAGAAAATATAGCAAGAAAATTAGCAGGCCCAAAAACAGCAAATAAAATAGTAAGTTATAGCCACTTTTACACACAAAATATTTTTTATCTCTTATAACCTAAAACTTTGGGCTCTGATCAAAATGTTATAATGAAACTTGTTGTGGAATATTGTTTCAGTTGAGAAGACGATTGAGGAAGGGGTCTTTCAATTCTTGGGCAGTTCTTAGTCATGCATGTCCTGGCTGATTCTTGGTAGTTTTGCTCATCTGTCATACTCTGGCTTTGCCCCATTATTTAAGGTCATCCCAGCATGCTTCTGTATATGTATTAATCTGTGTGCTTATTTATAAAACTTACGTCCACCTATCTTATATGCATTAATCGGTGGCTCGCAACAAAACCCATAAAATAGCAATAAAATAATCATTTTCTGGATAAGGCTCATAGACGTCATATGCTTCTTCTTTCAGGTTCAGCTAGCACTATACAGTATATCTGCATGTCCAGTGTATGTTATCCAGTTGTCTTCCAGACTTTGTTGTCTGATATCTGGTTTCTAGAATTTCCCAAAGAAAAAAAAAAGATTTAACCAGATCCCCAGCATGTTCCTTCACATCCTAGGATGCTGGAGATTTAAATCTGCTCAAAGTAAACAGGTAATCCTTGAACATTTGTTTCTGTTTTCCTAAACTTCAATCATGTCCCTTTCTCCTGCTTTTAACCACTACCTACCCACCTACTCACAAGTACCTGAATCAGAGAATGTTGAACCAAAATAGGTATTGCATACATTAGTTTTTTTTTATTTCATTACTTTTTACCTCTTGTCACAGCTTTTTAGCTTTTTTAAAGTTTTTCATTGACCGGTTTATTTTTTTAAATTTTATTTTGAACATACCTAATAAGCCCTTTCTGTAATTTCTAGTATTTTTTCCAACTTTGGCTCATTCTGAGTTTTAAATTAAAACGATTTAAGGTTTCTCTTAAAATCAAGAACTCTATTACATTGTCATTTCCTTTCAATGCTTCTGCCAGCTAAAGTCCCCCTTCCTTATCTGGATACTAGGCTGAATGAACTTAACTGGACAGCTTTCTGAGTAAACACACATGAGATTACACTATTATACTGTTTGCATATTAAGTTAAATATGGTAAGACTGGTGTAGTGATAAATGCACAGATGAGTACAGTTGAACAAACTCAGTCCAGCGTAGCTTGATATCTGCCTTAATGAAATTAGAAATAGAAACATAGTGCTTTAAGGTCATTAATGCCTTAAATGGATCTTTGGTTTCTACCAATAAAGCCAAAGTCTTGTATTCAGATTTCACATTAGCTGATTCGTAGAATGGCTACTTGACTAGTTAGGTACATCTATCAATAGGCAGTACCAAGTGTGCAACACATTTGATACTAGCAAGCTTTGTGATTTAACATTTATACTGGTTTTAGCATCTTGATTTAGAACTGCTTACTCTTCTTTCTGTAACCTGCCAGCATTTGATCTAACCTGTCAATTACTGTATTTTATAATGATTAGTTTCTCCTACATGCTTTTTCTATTCTTATTTATCAGTTTCCACCAGAAGCAGTCTCCCCTCAGTTTTAGCCATTCTGAATTGCAGCTTAAAAGGCCTGGCAATTGTTAGCAATTTGTAATTATCTTTTCACTTCATCAAGCCTGTATTTTATATCTCAATCAGGTTTTTTTAACTGTCCATTCTTCTCTAATTAAGAATTTGATTCTGAGTTTATCAGTTATTTACTATTCAAGCTGTGTAATCAGTAGAACTGAAGGTGGATTTATAATATTATGCTGAATGGATGTGAATTTTAAATGAACAGACACAATTAAATGTATGCTGAAACCAGTACGTTATCTGCAGACAGCTGAGGTTATTTTCACTTTTATTTCAAGAATGATTGTCACTAACCAGTTACTATTTAATTTCATTATTTTCAGGAAAAATACTTGAAATATAATAAAGTATCAATTATATAATAAGAAAACCATAGAATTTGATTCAACTATACTGCAATTTCCAATTTCAATATGCTTCTGCAATTTACATATTCAGAATTTTAAAAATAGAACTCCTGAGATAGTTTTAATTATCTCTCAATACAGAAATGCTTCGCTGTATTTATTAGCAATGATATACACAGCATTTTAAGTAGATGGATTCAAAACACTAACACTTTATGATTAGGAAAAATTATGAACTCAGATGTCTAAATCAAAGGAGAACTTATTCACTGGTGTTGGGAAAAGTAAATACACAAATACATTCTATTATGAAATGAACAGGCAGCTATTTTTCACACAGAGTTCCATGTCCCCACAGGAGTTCTGTTATTTAATTAACTGAAGCTAAATAATTTATAATATTCAGATACCATATAAATCTTTTTTTCATATTAAAACTACAGCAAATATATTCAAATTGAATAAAGTGAAGGCCTAGAGAATTATCAAGATCCATATCTAAGGAACAAAAATAAATAAATTAGAATTGTATTAAGAACTTTTCTGAACAGAGTTACAAAGTGTATTTACATATTGTACTATATAGCAGGAAAAAAATCATTCCTTACTGCAATGGAAGATTGGGGCAGGTTCCTTCTCAATGATTCTGATCAACATCAAACAGAGAAATCCTTTCTCTAGGCAATGAAGAAATATAGACAGCTAAAATAGGCTGCACACGTTGAGCTAAAAGATCATTTCCAAAATATTTGAGCACAAAAGTCTTAACAACCATCAAAATTTAATTTGGGATAGTAGAGTAACAGAAAGGAAGCACAGAATCATTTATTTATTTTTTAAGGTACATAAGGATTCAACTCTAAACTGTTACAACAGACATTTGTACTAAGCAATACTTTCAAGTCAAAGATAAATGAACATTCCCCCAGAGTTAATAGCTTAATTAGATTCTTCGACATAAAGTTTTTTCATTATTTGCTGGATCGCTTTTCATACTTGTCCTTTGTGTTCTGGTTCCTGTGCTTGTGCCTGTGCCTGGGAGGAGAGCAGCTGACTCTTCTCCTAGACCGAAAACTAGGTTTGTAAGGATGCACTCTGTGTCTCTTTGGTTTAGTTTCTTCCCTGCTCTGACTTGGTTCAGAGTCTTTATTTTCCTCTTCATCTTTCTCTCCCTGGTCTTGCTCGTTTGGTGAGTGCAATGTGTTCTTAATAGTATTCATAAGAAATCTTTTATTTGTACTGGCAAGGGGGCACTTCATCCTGCAAAAGTATCAAAAAGCAGCATTATAATATCCAAAATACACAAAAAAATAAACATTATGAATATACAAAATGAGTACTGCAGCTAATTTTCTTTTTTGGCTTCCCTTGTATGCCACCTAGTGTATACTTGAAGTACAGAAAGAAGCAGTTAAGACACATGCATTTTATCATAGGGTTGCCCCCCAAAAAATATATATCAAATATATATTAATTTCTTCATTAAAAGATATAGAAAATCTAGTAACATCTGCACATTTGTTACAAATGTAATTATAATCATTCATGTGACAAAATAAACTCTAGTAGAAGTATTTGCCACAAAAAATTGTTATATGACATAAACCTTTGTGCTTTACTATAAAAGATTTAAGTTTTTCCTCTGCTATACTCAAACGAGGAATTTAAATCCAACATGCTTCAGCTATTTGATTCTTACATTAAGTACATAACCAAAAACATTCTTATAAACCACTTATTTTTCTAATATTTGATATATAATTATTTTCATTCTTATACCAAATTGAAATTAAAATAATTGCAAACCAATATTCTTTCAGAAATAAGTGACAAATATGTCGCAACTATTAAAAATCTCAAACAACTCAAACAGGCTACTATCAGACAGAATTACTATTTTCAGATATATCCTCTATTTTCCCACTAGCTGTACCCAGCCACGCGTTGCTGTGGGTCAGTCTGGTAAAAGCGTGTGCTGCTTTTACGTCCAACAGATGGCGCTGTTTTTTTAAAAAAACATGTTTTTACCTGTCACAGGTGTGACATCTATATAATATAGGTATATAAAAACACGCGCGTATTCGAATGTAACATTGTGTCAAAATTTCAAAGCAATCGGTGAAGAACTTTCGGAGATTTAAGATTTTGAACAAACGAACATTTACATTTTTATTTATATAGATTGTGCCAAAAAATATTAAGTAGCAATAGGTGGGAAAAATAGACTTGCTGGCTTCTTTTTACTGAAACTCTTCTTTCTTTGAGTTCAAAAAGAGGATCCCATCTTAAAAAATGGCTTTGTGAGCTATTTGCTTATGTGATGACTATGCAACCATAGTGAATTGATGGAATATGACAATTTCATGTGATTTATTTTCAAGGACTAAAATAATGACCATACCGTGTTGATTATTATGGCACAACTTAAGATCCAAGAATGTAACATTAATTGTCAGAGTATTTTGATCTGATAAAATTGGGACATCCAGTAAAACCTGTTTTTACAGCTCATCAATCCCACAGTAGCTATAAGGAATTTTCACTGGACATGAGGCTCTGCTGTCTTATTCTTCCCTGCCTATTACTTACAGTGAAGAAGAAAAGCACTAGCAGGCTCATGAGAAAGTTTTAGTAAAATTGTTTCTACACTTGCAATCACATGCTATAAACTCATCCAAGAGTAACACCGTTATTGGAGTCTCCAGAATACCAGTATCATCTACTTCAGTGGTTCTCAACCTTTTTAATGCCGCGACCCCCAACCGGTCGTAAGTCGAGGACTAAACCGGTCGTAAGTTGAGGACTACCCAACCGGTCGTAAGTCGAGGACTTTCCCTGCCTGGGAGCGCCGCGCATGCGTGGTTCCGCCCCCTGTGCCGGCCGAGGCGTAGCTGGCAAGCGGCAGAGATGGAGCAGGCCGACCTCCAGCTGGCCCAGCCCAAGGGAGGTAAGGCACCCGCCGGAAAAGGGGAAAAAAATGGTGGACAGCCTTGCTTGGTGACCCCCGTGAAATGGTCGATCGACCCCAAATGGGGTCGCGACCCATAGGTTGAGAACCACTGATCTACTTCCATTATAAAACATAAGTGCTTCTGGCGGGTGGCAAATGAGGCCTCTTTTGAAACAGGAAGAATGGAATGGAATTATTTAGTTTATATTTTCTTCTCTTTCTTCTTATCTCTTACCAGAAAATGTGTTCAAATGTTTAAGCAAATTCAGCTAGATACTGAATATAATAGATAATGAGCAACATTAAGTAAGACTACACATAAAAGAAATTAATTCTTATTCTTAGTTATGTGTATACTTACCAACAAAAAATGCTATATTTTAATCCATTGATGAGAAATTTACATGACAATGCTCACTATGCATTCTTACTCTAGTCCCTAGTGAGACTTATTTATTAATGCACATTTGAAATAGCAATTTTTAGGGTTTTTAAAAAAACATATATTATTTTATAACATTATTATACTTAATTTGAAGAACTTACCAGCCCATGGGCCCCATTGTTTCTGCTCTAGTTTTCCCACGCTTGGCTTCTGTCAATAGCTCTTCCACTGCCTTCCTAAATGTTAAGAACAAACATTAATTTAACTTCTCTTCCAATAATTTTGGAATGTGGACATATTTCTTTCATCTAACAGTAATGCAGACTATTACAATTCACTCAAGCTGCAGTCCCTGGATCAAAATAAAACTATAATCATTGAAATTCAGGTTGCAAATAATAATCTTTCATGTTCTAAATCCCATGAGTCACTGGACAGACGTTCCTTCTTCCAATCATTCCTTCTCAGGCCAAACAACCCTCACAGAGTTTTTGTGGTGGAAATATAAGAAGCCATTACGTTTTAAAGGCAGGAAATAAATATAATAAGCAAATAAGAGTACGTTAAAAGAATGCCTAAAAGATAGGAAGAAATCCATAAGGATAGAATTTTTGCACCAAAGAAATACTAAATACCATTTTTATTAGATATTGTTGAAATTGAAACATCCCAGAATTAGAATTCTTTATTTAAAAGAATAAATGTAAAGATATACTCAAATTTATTTTATCAGATTTGAGGTACCCTTAACTTTTCCTCCACTTGATACATATAACTGTTCAGGGCAAGGGTATACACTTATAAATTGGAAAAATATGTTTTAACTTTAGTTATATTGAAATTGGTTAAAATCTTATATGGACACAAGGAAACCAGTAGAGAGATTGGTAACGATTATCTATTGCGATTATGAATAATTTGCCCATTATTGGGTTTTTGTCTGGATTAATTTTTCTATTAGAATTATAGCATGTATTTTTATTCCACTTTAATCATCCTTACATTACTTATCCTTAATGTAACTTTATAGATTGGGGATAAGGTACCCCCAGGTAACCCAAGTACATCTCCTTAAAGTACCAAACTTTTTACAAAGTCTATTTTTAAGTGGGAAGTCGGAATGCTGATCGCAAGATAAGTATTATTTGTAAGAATATATCTAGCTTTCCCCCAGTTCTCTAGGCACTGACATACATTCACCTGTAATATGGAAGGTGGAGTCATCATACTTTACTTTTCTTGTTACCTAATTGATCACTCATTTGAATCTTTCTAATCCTGACCTTAATGCTAATAATTGTGGAAAACTGATTTTAATCAAGATTGCTCTAGGCGATAGTGGAGGCTTTAATCTTAGGACTGAGACATTTCTGTGGATTACAATAATAAAAGTTTTAAACTGATTTAGGGATAAGGAGGGTGAACAAAAAGGTATGTCCTGACCTCATCAAATACTACTTTGTCCTTTACCCATTTTGTTCAGCCTTCCAAGAATTTCACAGGAAAAAAAAGTCTTAAAAAAGGTTGCAATGTCTGATCTCAAGACAATACCTTCTTGCATGCTTTAATACTACAAAGATATTTTATAAGAGAACTATGATAGTGTGTATTCCATTTGTGTATGTACCCATTTATCTCTTTTGAGAGTTAAAGTAGTCTGCAAGGTAGAATTAGAGATTTGTGAACAAAACAGCATTTCAGGCTATGTTAACATTCAGCTCCTTTAATTTTTCCTCCCTAGTCCACTGTTCTCTAGCTGTAAATGGATCACACTGAGGTTATACTCCTTGCCAATACTGTATCTTGAATGTATCAGTCCAACACATATTTGTTGGTGGATACAGGAAATAGCATGTTAGCTTGCAAGGTGGCTCCCAGCATGCATAGAGTAAACTTTAAATAAAATTAGGCTTTAGCTATATTTGGATATACAAGCAAGTATGTGGCAACCTTGACTCCTATTGCACCTTACATTAGCAGGGAATGCTATATGTGACATAAGTACAATCAAAGGAAATGCCCTATTCTCCACCTTTTTACTAAAACATGTACAAGTTACAATTGGTCAAAGTCATGCTAGGCAGTGGAGATCAGTATTCATGAACCTATCTGTTGACTACCATGGCATATAGAATCTGAAGAAAAAAGGACCATCAGGATGATCCTTGTTTAAAATGCTATTTCTATAGCAATAGGTAAATACTACTCTACAGAAAATCTGTGCTAGATTTGTTTTCTGTGGTATTAAGTCTTCTTTTTTTCTCTTTTCTATATCAGTTAAAAAATTGGGATTGTTATCTTTGAAGCATACCACAAAATGTTACATGAATGACAAATTTTCTTTACAATTGCCTGATATTGGCAACACTAATTTGGAACTCTTGTCTCTATATGTCAAATGCTATCTTATGGTCTTGTATATTATTCTGGAATTTTTCTTGCTTAATTTATTTGATCCCCTGATCTGAAGTTCTCTATCAGCTATCAACTCCAATACTGTTTGCCTGTTCCTATTTAAAGCTGCAAACTTTTTTACATAAAAGATTTGCTTTTGCCTTTTGGCAAAATCTGATTTGTCTATATCTTGTGAGCCCAAAACGTCTTTGGCACCAGAAGTGTTAATAGCTTACAATTCCGCAAGTTGAACAGTGTTGGACTTGTAGCACCAACGGTGGAAAATATTGGCCCTAGAACTGACGCTTCTCAATCACATTTATAATCAACAGCAAACACATTACATTAAATAGCTATTCCAAATTCTCCATATATTTCCTATAAGCATCTCTACATTTGCAGCCTAGTTAGAGAGAGAGAATTGGGATAATTCAGTTTCCGCTTTGGAACTATTTTTTCTCTTTAAACCAGTGTTTCTCAACCTTGACAATTTTAAGGCATGTGGACTTCAACTCCCAGAATTCCACAGCCAGCATTGCTGGCTGTGGAATTCTGGGAGTTGAAGTCCACATGCCTTAAAATCGTCAAGGTTGAGAAACACTGCTTTAAACTAACATGAACCCTCCTGCTTGAACTCCGCAATTAGATAGAAAGTGGCATCATTCCCCCCCCCCCCCTTATTTTAGGAACAGCAATTAAAAGAAAGCACCCCATTAGTCTTTCACTCTCACTTTGGACCCAATATTTCATTATGGACAGGAGAGGACACTGGGGATTTGATCTCAGAGTTAAGGCTAGGCAACTCAAGGCCTCCGGCAAGTCCCGGGTCAAAACTTGTTCTAGGCTGCAATTCCCCGATGACCTGCAGCCTTAATTCTGGGGAGGCCTTTGGATCAGCAGCCCACAACTAGACGGTTAGTCAGTGACTTACTTACTGAGTAATAAAACACAGCCTACCACCGCTCCGGGCTAATTTGGTGCCCGTGAAGTCGGAGTACAATTCCTATCATCCCTTTGGCCTGGTTGAGGATGATGGAAGTTGTCCTCCCAAGTCATCTGGCCAGCACCAGGTTTGAGAAGGGTGCCGGCTCGCCCTCCGCTTAGCACCCGCCCGGCAGGCATGGAAAGGAAGCCATTGCACCTTCCGTTTTTCCGCCGCCTTCAAATCTCACCTCTCCAGCTCAGCATCGTCCGCCATGGCGTGCTGCGTTCGAAGAGACCCGCTCTCAAGCTCCGACCGCCTCCATCTTGCTCGTCTTGCCGGAAGCGCAGCAGCAGCTCTAGCCGAGCGCGGGCGACGAGCACCAACAGACGCTCGCGAGGACCCCGAAAGGGGCGGGGCTCCCACAGGCCCGCCCTCCCCAGCAAAGCTCGCCCTCTAGCTGATCGGAAGCGGCTCCTCTTGAGTGTAGGGGGCGTGGCGGCGGCTGCCGGGGCGGGCTTAAATCTGACCAGAATCCTGCGGAGGGTATTGCAGATGGTACTGGAATGTACAACAGTCTTTTCTGTTGATGGAAGTTTTGATCTGATACCTATTGGCCTGAGATGGTTTCATTAACTTAACACAACTTGTTTCTCTGTCAAGTTACATAGAATTGTAATAGCACAGAGGTTTTTTTATGTATGAATACACATACCATATAGGATGGATGGACGGATGTAGATTTAAACAAACATATCAGATAGTTAAATCATATACAAACACATCCTATATATTTATACACACACATACACACTTAGATAAATAGACACAACATGTACATGTACCCATATATACCAGATATTTATACATACACAAACTGGATAGATAGTACATATACATACCAACATGCACACACACAATCTTCCTTCCTTCCTTCCTTCCTTCCTTCCTTATTGATCCATTGGTTGTGATAGCAAATATATTTACTGCATCTAGTTTAACTTTCAACAAGGGTAGAACGCTCCTAATTAATCTACATCTATTAAAGTTATTTAAGCTTTGGTCAGTCATTATCAAATCTGATTATGTGTCACCAAGTCATTTTCAATTTCTAGGGATCACAATGCAGGGCTAAGGGATGTTGGAGGGGGGTACCTGGGACAGTGCATTCCTCAGAAACTGCAGGCTGATGGGAGTAAGACAAGCCAATATTGTTTTTTTCCTTAGAAGGGTGCCAGATCTGAATTGATGGTTAGCAGAGATCTTTAATACGTCTAAAGTTCTGTAATATTCAGTTATATCCAATGATTCCAGAATCCTACTGAAACTCACATGATGGGAAATCACAACCTATCCATCAGTGCTTGGGTGTTCTGTCAAAATTCTGTCTATTTACAGAACACAAAATATTAAAATCAAAGTAAAACATTAATGTTTACTATGTTTTGTGAGTTCAATCAGCAGTTATATGCAGGATTTACTGAGCTTATTAGAAAGATAACTGTCTTAATCATTGTGGTTATCCATGTTTAACTGAACTACTGTTTATTGCATTAGCTCAATTGTATGGATTCCTACTGTGTGTTAAAGCATAAACTAAGTCTGCTGCATGTGGTTGCAAATTGCACAATGACAAGCTTGGCAATCACATTTTACTTAGGCTGTTGGACTATTCATATTCTTCCTGCAGGCCAGTGTCTCAACCTTGGGCAGTGATGGCGAACCTTTTAGAGACCGAGTGCCCAAACTGCAACCCAAAACCCACTTATTTATCGCCGGGTGCCAGGTGGGCATGGCCCACTAGGTGGGCATGGCTATGGTGGGCATGGCAGACTGGGTGGGTGTGGCCAAGGTGGGCATGGTCACCTCAATGTTGCTCATGGGGAGGGATGCCTGTGGGGGCTGGGCAGGGTTGGAGGAGATCTGGGGGGTCTCTGGCAGATGGGGCGGTGGGCAGGAGACTCGTCCTGCGGGGTGAGGCAAGGCCAGGCAGGGCGGGGGTGCCATTGTCGCAGGGCAAGGCAAGGCAGGGACTGGGGCGGCTGCTGCCTAACACCATCAGCCCCCGCACACAGAGGCCAGCATGGGGGCCGACAGTGTTCGTCAGCAGCCACAGCCTGCTGACCCCTTTACCGGTGCACTCTGGGGCTCTGCAGCCCACCACCAGCAGTTCAGAGAAGCCGCTCTGAGCTGGACGGATAGCCGACAGCTGAGGAGGCAATGCAGTGGGTCGTGCCCGGGAAAAGGAGAGCGTGCAAGGCCAGGAGAGATGGGACGGAGGGGAGGGAAACCAGCCGTGCTGGGATGCATCCAGCCACATGGGACCTCGGTAAGTTAGCGGGTGCCTGGTTGAAGAGGGACAGTTGCCATCTCCGGGGCATGGCGCACGTGCCTACAGAGAGGGCTCTGAGTGCCGCCTCTGGCACGCGTGCCATAGGTTCGCCACCACTGACCTTGGGAATTTCAAGATGCATGGATCTCAACTCCCAGAACTCGTCAGCCAGCATGCATTTTGGGGAATTCGGGGAATTGAAGTCCATGCATTTTAAGTTGCCAAGAGTGAGAAACATTGCTGTAAGCAAATGACAGACTGCATACAAATCAGATACTGGCTTTAGATCAGGGTGGGAGATACGGTGTGTAGCCCTTCAGGTTGTTGGAAAGCATGATCCTTCACTTTGGCCAGGCCTTTGAGGCTGCTGGGGTAGAGTTTAGCATAGAGAGGGCTATACACAACCCACCTTCCTTGTACATGTTATTGCAACTTTAATGCAGCTATCATCATTTCCATCCATAATAATGGAGGGTGGGTACCTGGTGGGAATTGTTATCTAATAAGGCCGTTTAAGGCAGTGGTTCTCAACCTTTTTTAATGCCGCAACCCCAACCGGTCGTAAGTCGAGGACTAAACCGGTCGTAAGTCGAGGACTACCCAACCGGTCGTACGTCGAGGACTTTCCCTGCCCGGGAGTGCTGCGCATGCGTGGTTCCGCCCCCTGCGCTGGCCAAGGTGTAGCTGGCAAGTGGCGGAGACGGAGCAGGCCAACCACCAGCTGGCCCAGCCCAAGGGAGGTAAGGCACCCGCCGGAAAAGGGAAAAAAAATGGCGGACAAAAAAATGGCAGACAAAAAAAATGGCGGACAGCCTTGCTTGGCGACCCCCGTGAAATGGTCGATCGACCCCAAATGGGGTCCCGACCCACAGGTTGAGAACCACTGGTTTAAGGGAAGACTGCATAGTTTTCCTGCCCAGTCTTTACTTAGGTATCTGCTTCTGCATCTTTAAACGGAACAAACCACTGGCAACCATCTATAAACGTCTCGCAATTACGACAAGATATATTAAGGCTTCCAAACTAACCATCAAGGGAGCTTTTACCATAATAAATTTTAGGGTTGCTCCGCCAAAGAAAACAGCCACCGTCCTTTTAGAATCAGGCGCGTAACAGAGACAACCCGGGCAAAACTCCAGATTCCCATGGCCTGCGCACCGCATCCCGCCCGGAATAGCCTCCGATAGGCTGCGAGCTCTTTTCTTTTCTTTCTTTCTTTTTTTTTTTGCCTTAAGGCTGAGTCGTTCTGATTGGGTGGAACATGCCGTCGTTCGGGCCGCCGGAGAAAAGGAGTCTCCTTGCCGCGCGCGCCCGGGCAAGCGCGCCGCCAAGAGAGTCGCGCTTGGTGAAGTGCAGCTTGGAGTTCCTCTTCTTCCCTGAGATCGGCGCCGGCGGAGGAGGTAGGAATGGAGCGTGGAGGCGGAGCTAGAGCTCCAGCCCACGCCACTCCATCTGCGGCGCTGGGAAGAGCTGCTCGGCGTCAGTCTCCTACGGTACTGCCCCTCGCTCGGAGCACGATGCCTGGGATCGTGCAGTGAAGCCGGAGCTTTTGCGCTCCTATCCGGCAGGGTAAGTTCAGGGGCCACCGATCCGACCTCCAAGTTGTTTTTTCCCCCCGACTTCCTTCCCGCGATTGTTTTTGCTTAGCATCGATGCTTGTAAGCTAGTTTCAGAAGGGATCTGCCCCCCTCTCCGATCCCTAAAGCTCTGCGCTTCCAGAGCGTTTGGCTCAGCCAGTTTTCATCTGGCAACCCCTTTTTGCTTTCTGCAGTGGGTACTGCCCGTGTCTAGCTCCGCTGCCCAAGAAGCCTCTGGGTTTAGAGCTTTTTCCACAATCTTCATTTTTGATTTGCCTTTACCTCCAATCGCAGTTTTGGCTTGCGGGCTTGGGCAACCTCCCCCTGTGATTTCTTCCAGGCATTTGTCTTCCACTTGGATTTGTTATTTACCAATGTACTAAGCAGTTAAGCCTTCTGGTCCTCCTTTCCCAGGTCAGCCTAGAAAGGGCTGATAATGACTGCCTACATATAGGGGGTGGTGGAGGATGGGGAGAGGCCCACCCTTTCTCATGTACGTAAGGATGAATGAATGAATTTCTCTGGTTGCCAAAAAATTGGTTGTGGAGTGATAAGATGCAGAGTTTCTTCCCTCCTCCCCTATCCGAAGTTATATTTTCAGATGAGTGGAAGCAAGCAATTTATAAGCATTTTTTTTCTTCATAGGGAAGTATTTTGCATGATATACATCATATGCTCTGCTGCCCACTTCTTTCACTGTAGGCTTTCAAATTGCTGTTATTGCAAACCATTAATTCATGGGAAAAGCTCATCTACCTCACACACTTGAAGTAGGAGCTCTCCAAAGTTTATTAGACTGGGTTCTCCAAGGAAACATCAGAATTGCTAGCTCTGCTTCCTTTCTCTGGTGAGCTGTAATGCATATATAGATTGATAGAAGCTGCTATGGATTCTTCTGCTTGTAATGTTGGCCTTTTAGGATATCCTCTCGTATTCCAGTTAATCCATTGCCCCTTGCTTTTGTAAGAAGTTCAGATGAATCTTGTACTTTGCTGGGGCTTGTGCAGTTGTGGTCTCACCTTTCTATTCTAGTCTATTATTTCCTTAGATGTGAATGAGAAGTGAGAGCCTTTTGTTGAACTGCCTCCCTTGATTTTGTCTCAGTTAATTGAGTGTTTATAAATGCTCCTGTTTGACCTAAAGAAGCTCAGAGAACAAAGCTGGAAGAACTTTGAATCTACAGAGGCACGAAACAATTGGCATTCTGTCCATTGGCAGAATATGGAGGATAATATGTGCAAGTGAGTCCCAAACACACAAAACTTTCTTGCTGGGCATCCCCCCCCCACCTTTTTGCAGGAAAATGTTAAGAAACAGTGTATAATCTGAAGATGGTTAGTTAAAAGATTTAATCAAGAAACATCTTGATGTGCATACAGAAGGCAAAGGTTAGTTCTTAAATTATAGATTGTGGGTTTGATTTAAAATAATAGGTGATTCCAAGGA